TCCTCTTGCAATTCTGTTAAATTCCACTCTGAACTTCTCAGATACATCCAGATCGATTGTCTTGATATTCATGGCAAGCAAAAGCAGCAGAAAAGAACCACAACCTTTTTTTATTTCTGCAAAGCAGAGAAGGGTATCCTATTATGCACAGATGTAGCTGCACGTGGTCTTGATATTCCTTCTGTGGTATGCTGCTTTACATTTCATGCAAACGGTCCCTTATTTTTCCACATCCCCAACCTTGAAATGAAAGAAGATAAAAAATGAAAAAGTATTTGGATACGGGCGGTAAGCCAATAAAAGTTACTAGATAACATAGGAAAAAATTTTAAAACTGTGTGTTACAGGTAAATAAAAAAGGGAAAATGAACAGCAAGGGTGGAAAGGGCTTTAGGATGGTCCAGTTGAGGGTTGTTAAAGATTCAATGGGTTAAGATTTGTATTATTCGTATCTCATACAACACTTGCACTGATTGATTATTCTGATCTCTCTTTAGGATTGGATAGTGCAGTATGATCCTCCGGATGAGCCTAAGGTGATTTGATCACTTTCTGGATAAAGTTGTTTGCAATTTATCCTATATTTTCAAGCCTCTCTGACATTTGATTGTTTTTGAATAAAATTAGGAATATATTCATAGAGTTGGACGTACAGCCCGTGGGGAAGGTGCGAAAGGAAATGCTCTGCTTTTCTTAATTCCAGAAGAGTTACAGTTTCTTCGTTACCTTAAGGTATGTGTAATTTTGCTTGCATCAGAATTTTTTGTCACTTGAGAAATGACTTTTACTTTTAACTTATTGCTTTAATTCCTTTGTAATTCTCTTTGATGAATTGGAACTTTTGAATTTGCTTCGAACATCCCCTGAATTCATGATCACAAATTTTCAGGCTGCAAAGGTACCCGTCAAGGAGTACGAGTTTGATCAGAAGAAGCTAGCAAATGTTCAATCTCATTTGGTAACATCTCGTTTTCAAGGCCTTGTATATAATTCTTAATTATTCCAAAGAGATTGTAAATATGCGTATGATGCAGGACAAGTTGGTCTCAAACAACTATTATTTGAACAAATCGGCTAAAGATGCTTACAGATCCTATATTCTGGCATATAATTCACATTCTATGAAGGACATCTTTAATGTACACCGGCTTGATCTGAAGGTACTTTCACATGAATACTGGAATATCTCACATGAATCGGCTAAAAATATGGACCCATTTTATCTAATTCTTTCTCTTACATCTTGCTGATGCCATTTTTTCTTTTCTTCTTTTTTTCGGCAGGCTGTGGCTGCTTCATTTTGCTTTAGTTCACCTCCAAAAGTAAACTTAAACATAGATAGCAATGCTTCCAAATTCAGGAAAAAAGCGCGAAGAATTGAAGGAGGTCGGCATGGTTTCAGTGATAGCAATCCGTATGGTAAGAAAGCTGAAGGTGACATTCGACAATTTGTTAGGCATTAGAATTCAGTGCTGTTTTATTTGTTAGTGAGAGTTTACCATTCCTTTTATTATAAATTGTAATTTCTATTAAGAATACATGTCGAGAAAAGTGAGAAAATTACAGTTAACTGTTTTTTGTTTTTGTTCATACGTTTTTCAGTAATATTTATATTCTCAAATGGACTCATCTTTTGAGATTTTTACTTACCAAAAAAGGGAAAAATAACATAGAATTGTAGACATAGTTGTGGACATGCGATTTCATCTGTATTTTAGCATATAATTAACCTTTATTTTTTTCAGAAAGGTTATATGAAAAAAAAATATTTATTTTTTTGTTTACTCAATGGCTAACATTTATTAATTATAAATTGGATTAAGTATAGCTATTGACTGATTATATATATTTGTAATGAGATCTTAATATTAATTTAATAGTAATTTGTTGACACAAATAAAAATTGTTCACTATAATTATTATTTCATGGTTGATTTATTAATTATGTTAACCGATCATAAACATTTAAAACATATAAAATATTAACTTAACGAAAAATTGAAAATATTCATAAAAAAATGCTACAGTCTAGCCAAGTGATGAACAATGAAGTAGTTAAGCTTCATTGAATATATCATTTGTATTGACAATAATATTAAATAACTAAAATAAGATAGTAAAAAAAAAAAATAAAAATAATAGTTAATGGTAGTGTGAAACTAAGACTTATAAATTTTATATTAGAAATGTCTATATACATTAAAAAATTATTCAAGTTTAAAAAATTACAAATATTATCATATAATATAAATAAATAAAAATGAGTAAATAAAATAATATAGTCGAGTATCATAGTTGAAGTTAGAGTATTTGCTAATCATTGGAATATATAATATATCTAAATATTTACATTGGCTATTAATTAAAGTACTACATATATTTAAAAATAAAGATGAAATAAATATAGAGAAATAAAAATATAAATATTTCATAACAAATTTTTATTGCACAAACAATTAGCGTTGATAAAAAGTTTTGTATTGCACAATGGATTAAAGTTGACAAAAGTTGCGATCTAATAGTCAGTCAATTGACATTTAACGCATTTAGAAATTGTAATAAAGGAAGGTACATGTTAGGCATTAAATGCTTGTCAATTATAAGTCAATATGCAAATTATTGACGAGCGATTAATGTCAACGGTTTTTAGTTATGAAACTAGTGTTTTAGATGTGATTTATATGAGGGTTCGTTGTAAATTAATCTATAAGTGAGTAAAAAAGTAAAAAAAAAATGAGGAGTATTGACAATTTTGTTGATCAATTGGGAGATTGACAAAGAAAGTGAATTCTCCCAGAAAGTAATTGTTGAGGGGGTGATTTGATATAGTTTCAACAATAAAAAAAATTAATCAAAACCCAATTTTAACTCAATTTTGACTCACTTCTGCTATCTCCAATATTATCAATATAATTATAATATCAACCAATAATTTTTTTTCAACTTTAATTCACTATTCGTCCACTCAATTAATTTTAACTAAACCATCACTTCCAATCATTTTTCTCCTACTTTACATCAAACCAACTTTAATTATTTTATTTAAATATTATTTTAATATAACCACTAACAACTAACTATACCATTTTTTTTTAAAATTAACTATAGTTAAAACAAACCAAATAAAAACTAGTTGAATCCATAAGCAATCGCCCCCTGAGAGTCTTTTGTTACAATGACAACTCTTATGTGTTGTGTTCGAGCTTCTTGTTCGTTGTGTTCTCTCATGATGTCATGTTGTTGAAGTGCTAGATGCCTCATTTATACGTGGAAAAATGTACAATACTTTTATGATAACTTACCATCTTTAGCAAATGTCATGCAGAAATTTGATGATGGGATGTGTATTCTAGGCCTTTACGACAAGACCTATTGGACGGTATGGCAAGACAGATTGGACGGTGGCTTTAACGGCTTCGACGGCTTTACCAGTTTATCTTGTCAGAGAGCGCTCACATTCTGTAGCTCACGTCTGCAGGGAGATCGATAGGTAGGTCTTCCGACGAATTGACAAAAAACATAGCATACTTGATGGGTTGGGTCGCTTGTTGGGCCTCTTCATTTCTTTTAGGTGAGTTTTGACTTTCGGATCGCGCATGCAACACAAATTATGAACGTTAAAAAGTTATTAGATTAAGAGAATGGAATATTTATAAGTACTAAGTAATCTGTATACAAATATCATATTTAAAATCTTAGACATATATAATAATTTATAAATTTATTAATAGCCAAATTCATATATTAAATAGTCAAAATCTACGAAAATAAATTGAAAAAATTATAGTCAAAGAAATAAAAAATAATAATAAACATTCAAAAAAATGTTATATTATTATAAACTTGATATACTGCGTTGGATAGAATTGACATATTATATTAAATTAATTTAAAAATATTTAAATAATAAATTATTTTTTATATAACAAATTTTGTGCATGACATGAGTATGTAACACTAGTTATGACAAATCTTTTTGCCTTCAGATTCCCTTCAATCATATTCATTCACAAACAGAAGCATAAAATAACTAGAGTAAATGATATTCAAATTACCATATTTGCCCTCAAGCTGTTTGAAGAAACTTCTTTGATTTTTTTTGGCTCCAATCATTTTTTTAGGAGAATCATAAAATCACCACCCATAACTTTTTTCAATACTATATTTGAACTTAACTACAAATTCAATTACATTTTATTCATAAATATTTTCCAACTTTATATCTACTTTAATTGTCAAGTCTATCTCATGATCTTCTTGGAAAGTTTAATTTTTTTTAGAAAAAATATCAATCACAATTTTCTGTCACAAATAGAAAAAATATATATTTTTATTTAAATAAATTACATAATATAAAAATATATTTAAAGAAATTACATAATATATGTGAATATACATAAATACCAAATAAACAGGGGTTAAAATTGACATTTCATGTGGGTGTTCAGACGTACAGAGCATAATCGTGGCCTCGTCTTCCTTATAGTTACACACTCTTCTTCAACCTCAGCATATACATACAATAAGATGTATGCATAGGCGCGATCACTTGATTTCAGATTTTCCTTTTTGATCTGTAAGTTAACGATTTTCTGCGTGAATGTTTATTGCTTTTGAGGTCCTACACGGTGATTTAACTACAAGTTCGCAGTTTTTTTTTTTTTTTTTTTTTTTTTTTTTTTTTTTTGTTGTTGTATTTTTTTTGCGCCATAGATTCAGGTGCAGTCGTAAAACCCCAGATCCTAGCTCGATTTAGATTGAATGAGATTTTCCCTTTTTGTCGAATTTGGTTTAATTTGTGGATCTGAGTGTTATTAGCTGGAAATCGATTAGGGTTTTTGTGAAATTTTGCGCCGGAGAGTTTTAGAAAGGGTTTGAGCGAATGGCTACGAACCCTCCTCCATTCGCGGTGGAGGATGGCTCGGACGAGGATTTTTTTGATAAGTTAATCGATGATGACGAAGATGTGGGCTTTAAAGTCACTACAACTGCTGCGTCTGGAGGGCCTGTCTTGATGGACGGGAATGAATCCGATAAGGCTGATGCCTTTTCAAATTTGTGTATCAACAAGCTCGATGATAACGACGAGGTCAATTTTGACAATGGTAGTGACAATGGTTGTGATGATGGTTTAGGCGCCAAACTGGAAACTGTTGCTCATCATATCCATGAAGGTGGAGCTGTGGAGGAGAGAGGAAATCCATTGGCTTCATCCAGTTCTTTTGTGTTTGGTGATCTGGTACAACATCTGGAGAAGTCTAATGAGGCAACTGAAGTTTTGCCAGATTCGACGTTGGGGACTGATAATAAGACAACTGCAGTAGAAGGCTCGTTTGATGTGGGCATGATGATCAAGAGTAGTGACGGATCAGGAGCTCCTGGAGTTAAGGAGGTGGACTGGAGCGCATTTCGGGCTGATTCGGCTCAGAATGATGACGGGAAAGGTTTCGGGTCGTACTCGGACTTTTTCAGTGAGGTTGAAGGGGATAATACTGGTGATGCATTTGGTAATGTGGTGGAGGATACTTTCAAGAGTGTGGCACAAGATACTCTTCATGGATCCTCGTACGTGGACAATTCAAACAGCTATGGACAGTATAATGAAGGATATTATAACGATAGTGTTGCAGCAGGTCAGGGTTCATATACGCAGGACCTGAACAGCAGTCAGTATTGGGAAAGCCAATATCCCGGTTGGAAGTACGATCCGAGCACGGGCCAGTGGCATCAGGTTGATGGGTTTGATGCAGGTGAAAGCGTGCAATCGAATGTCGATTCAAATGATAGAACTTCGTGGGGAGTGGCTGATGGGCAAACTGAACTCTCTTACATGCAGCAAGCTGCTCAATCTGTTGCTGGTGCTGTTGCCGAGGCAAGTACGACAGAGAATGTTACGAACTGGAATCAGGTTGCCGAAGTGAGTGGTGACATTGATGGGGTTCCACCGTCCTCTCATGAGAATAGTGGTTACCCGCCTCATATGATGTTTGACCCTCAGTACCCTGAGTGGTATTATGATACTATTGCCCAGAGCTGGTTTACTTTGGAATCCTACAATGCATCAGCTCAGTCCACTGCTCAAGGTGAGGTGCAGATGAATAATCAGACCGACTATGGATCAACAGAGGCATTGGCACGGAACAGCGCTGTTGAAGCATTCAATGGTAATGGTCAAATTAATAGTTATGAGTCTCAGGGCTTTAGCACACAGGGTTTGGATAATAGCTGGGCGGGTTCAGTCGGAAGCAATAATCAACAAGGCTCAACTATGTGGACACCTGAAGCTGTTGACAATAGCAAACCTACTTCAATTTACAATGGTAACCAAACAATGGGAAATCAATATGGGCAGAATCTGTCACTCAGTAGCCATGGGAATCAACAAAATTCTGTTCAGTATGGGGTGAAACATTCGTATTACGAAAATCTGAGTCAGAATCAACAAAGTTCTGTTCAGTATGGGGTGAAAAATTCGTATTATGATAATCTAAGTCAAAACCGCAATGACTTTCCAGTGCCTTCTCAGTTTGTTGGTGGCGGAAACTTTGGTCAACCTTTTGGTGAAGTCACAACCCATCAAAATGACCAAAAACATTTCTCAAATGACTTTTACAGCAACCAAAATCCAGTCACCTTCCCACAGCAACAGAGCCTGAATGCTCATATCTCACATACTCCCGCCTCTGGAAGATCTTCTGCTGGTCGTCCTCCCCATGCTTTGGTTAACTTTGGTTTTGGTGGAAAGCTCATTGTGATGAGGAATAACTCTAACGACAACATGAACTTTGTTAGTCAGGTTGGCGTCTCAATGTTCTTTCTAGCTTTCTATCAAATTTACATGCTTTATTTATCTTTTTTTT